GAAAACTTGGCCAATTAGTCTCTCTACTCCTCTACCTACCTACCTACCTACCTACCCACCCTCTCTCGCTCTCCCTACCTACTGTATTTCTCTCGATTTCTCTCTCTCTCTTTCTATCCCTTTCTCTCCCTACCTACCTAACTACTCTCTCTCTATACCTACTGTATTTATCTCTCTCTATTTCTCTCTCTATCCCTCTACCTAACAACCTACCTACTCTCTGTCTCTCTCTCTTTCTCCTACCTATCTACTGTATTTCTCTATCTCTTTTTTATTTCTCTCTCTATCCCTCTCCCTACCTACCTACCCTCTTTCTATCTCTCTCTATTTCTGTTTATCTACTTACCTACTCCCTCTCTCCCTCCTTTATTTCTCTCTCTTTCTCTCCCTATCTACCTACTTTTTTTAAAAAAATGCCTCTTAAAAACCTTGGTGCGTCTTATACTCTGGTGTGTCTTATACTCCAAAAATATGGCACTTGCATTTGCATGTTTTCAAGCTGCTAGATTGGCAGGAACTGGGGCAAGTAATGGGAGCTCACCCCATTGTGTGATGCTCAGGAACCCAGGCTGTCAGCTGAGAAGCTGACAAGCTCAGTGTCTTTAACCGCTGAGCCATCACATCTGTATAGATAGGAATGGCCTATAAGTCTGTACAATAAATACATAAATTTATCAAATGTATAAATGTAGCTGTGGGCATCTGCAAATGTTTGCTTCTTTTATTAGAGAGGTGAAAGTAGTGTTGTGCTATATGTTATTCCCCTCTGGTATTTATATGTACATAGAAAAGGACAGATATTTATGATATAAAAAAACTTTTGCCATGCCCTTCTACTTGACCATAATTTCATGGACACAGCTACTTGAATCCAATTTGAAATAACTTACTTTTCTGGTTTTAGATCTCTGTATATTATCCCAAGACTATGCAGATGGTCTAAAGCGAGTGCTAATTCAGCCAAATAAAATTTGACATCATCTTCTGTGAACATGACCTACAAAGAAAAACATGCATTTCCATAAGATACTGTCATGTCCTGCCATTAAAAGTTGGAAGTGGGGGAGGAAGGGTGGACAAATGTGCAATATGATTTTGTGTATGTGATGGGAAATAGGGAGGGGGGAATGACAGGTGATGAAGACCAGAGAAGCCCGGAACAGTTTGTACCAGAGGCACCAAGGCAATGCACCTTGATAAAGGAATGTGAATTGCCCAGAACATCTCAATATTCTCATATTATCTTGGCAAGCTCCGATTGGCGAAGTCCCTGTGACAGACTGGTCATAGGGAGAAAGGAGAAGAGAACATTTTCTGTATCTTTTTTGTGCGGGGAAACCTTAGAGCCAGCATGACTATATTGCAACCAATTTCCTTAGTAAAAAAATGTTTTGCTTCAATCTAATGGAGTCCAAGATCTTTCTTTCCTAAGGAACCAGATTGGGGCAGATCTGACAGACAGTAAGAATGTTTATTTCTCAACTTAAAATGTAACAAATATAATTAAAAGTAACATACAATATTCAGATAGATAACTGAATTTATAAAAGCGATTGTAATTATTAAATAAGCATTAACACCAAGCATATATAATTCATACTAACATATAATCATAATTAGCTAGAAGAATTATTTCAAAGTATAGAGAATGCAGAAGAAATGCTATATGATACATACAAAAATTAAGAAATTTGGAAAATATTCCTACATAGTTAAGCTGTGTATTTAAAGTGCTACTATAAAGCTCCTGTCATAATTACAATATAAATCTTGCTTACCTCTTTGGATAAGCGTGTAAACAAATCGCCTCCTCTGAGAAAGTCTAAAATAAGATATAACTTCCCTTCTGTTTGAAAAGCTGAGGGAAAAGCAAACAACTGATTTCAGTAAAGTCATACAGTATCACTGGCCTCAGAAAGGAACTATTTAAATTATTTATGTTAAACTCTATAGGATATATCTAGAAAACAATGCCAACATTAGTACCTATCACCTTTAGTGCCTACTGCTTCTGTTTGTTAAAGTTGCTACTGTACTCCAGTAAGTAACTAACTGCATCTATTGCGGCTACAGTGGTGGGTTTCAAAAAATTTTAGAACCTATTTTGTAGGTGTGGCCTGTTTTGTGGAAGTGGCTCAGTGATCATGTAACCGGGTAAGAGTAGCTTGGTGGTTGTGTGACTGGGTGAGCGTGGCCAAGTTGGAAAATGTGGTGAAACTCATTTAACAATGCTCTTGCTCAGCAACCAAAATTTTGGGCTCAATTGTGATTATAAATTCTCTTTCTTTTTTCCTTCCTTCCTTCCTTCCCTTCCGTCCTTCCTTCCTTCTTGTGTCTCTCTCCCCCACTTATTTTCTTTCTTTCCCTTCCTTCCTTTCTTCTTTCCTTCTTGTGTCTCTCCCCCACTTATTTTTTTTCTTTCTCTTTCTTCTCTCTCTCTCTCCAACTTTCTTTCTTTCTCTTTCTCATTCTCTCTCTCTCTCTCATACACACACACACCCTTTCCCTCAAGTCTGCCACTGACAGTTCTCAAAGAGACAGAAGGACTCCTGCCTTGGGAAGGGGTTGGACTAGATTACCTCCCTGTTCCCTTGCACCCCTCTATGTTCTCTGTCCCATTTAGTCACAAACAGCCCCATTCACTTTAAAGTTGATCACAAACTCCACTCACCCTGCGCACACCGTGGTCCCACCCAAGGAGGCGAGCTGTGGGGCGGGGGAAGGAGGGGAGTCTGTGGCTCCACGTTTCTCAATTTTCTTCCTCGCCTCGGTTCTGCAGGCGAGAGGTGCTGCTGCTGTGTGGCATCGCGGTGGTGGAGTTGGAGCGCTGCCCGCTGAGCAGCACGACCCACAGCTAGCCCAGGAGCAGTAGCCGCTGTCACCACGAGCTACCCTGCACCATCGTTCACTACCACTCAGACTGGAGACCAGGCACGCAGAGTGGTTGTGGCGGCAGCGACAGCAGCTGAGCAGGGGCAGCACTTTGGTGGGCGCTGAGGGAAGGAAGAAATGAAGGAAGCTGCAGGCTTCTTTGCCTCAGCTACACAACCTCCTTTTGTTCTCTGCTGCTTGAACGAGTGAAATAGGGAGACAGAGAACGAAAGGTGGTCGCGTAGCCAAAGCAAAGGAACCTGCAGCTTCCTTCCTTCACACGTTCAGGCAGTGGGGGGGGGGGCTTTCTCGCATGCCTTTGGAGAAAGAAGGCGTGCGAGAAAGCCCCCCCCCCCACTGCCTGAACAGTGTGACCTCCTTTCGTTCTCTGCTGCCCGAATGAGTGAAGTAGGGATACAGAGAACAAAAGGAGATTGCGTAGCCGAGGCAAAAGAATTTGCAGCTTCCTTCCTTCACATGTTCGGGCGGGGGGGGAGGGCTTTCTTGCATGCCTTCTTTCTTTCTCCGAAGGTGTGCAAGAAAGCCACCCCCCCGCACTGCCCGAATGTGTGAAAGAAGGAAGCTGCAGGCTCATTTGTCCTCGGCTAAGCAACCTCCTTTCGTTCTCTGCTGCCCGAACAAGTGAATTAGGAAGACAGAGAATGAAAGGAGGTTGCGTAGCCAAGGGCAAATGAGCCTGCAGCTTCCTTGCTTCACACGTTCGGACAATGGGGGGGGGGGACTTTCTCGCACGCCTTCAGAGAAAGAAAGAAGGTGTGTAAGAAAGCCCCCCTGCCTCTCAGAGGCGGGGTGATTGATGAGCCAGCCAATCAGTGAGCGGGGTGGGGGGAGAAGCATGGTATGGATGGGCAGGGCAAGCGAGCGGCAACCAGATGGGTGGGTGGAGCGAGGGAGGGAGGTAGGCAGGAGGGAGCATTCAGGTACTGTGCCATCGGACGAACGGGTTCCAAAAGGTATGCTAAATTTCACAAACGGGTTCTAGCGTACCAGTGCGAACTGGCTGAAACCCACCCCTGTGATGCTGCTGCCATCCTGTCAATCCTTCCTGAAGATTGCCCCACTAGAGAAGGCTGAACTAGGAACTAGATAAGACCTACAGTGAGAGACTGCCTCACAGTCCCGCAGTGCAGGGCTGTAAAAAGCATAATGGCCATTAGAGCTAGCTTGGAGGAATCATTTGTCATAGGAAGTATTCATATTATAAAGTCATTGTTTCAACATGCTTGGTCATTAAATTTATTTGGAAGTATTAAAATACAGTGGCTAAACTCCAGCATTTACCATGGGCTATGATTTTCAAATAATCAATAAAAACAATGCCTTATCACTCAAATTCAGTAAAAATGTACAATCTTTGCCTGTTAATGCTAAAACATTATTGTAGAATTTAGAGTATCTGTAAGAGACGCTATGAGAGCTCTTCCTGATTAAAATGTCTCCAAGCTAAGTTGCTGACTCTCAGCAAGGAAGTTTATAAAAGAGAAATGCTTCTATGAAACAAATGATATATGGTGGAAAATACATACAGCATTTGATTATTTAATTTTTGGCAAGAAAAACAATAAGATTGCTCTATATTATGAGTCTATTCTGTTTCATAGTTTTATGCATTGATACAATTGGCAGAACTGAGATGGCATACAAAGAACTTGGAAATAGCAAAATATTATATACTAACCTTCATGTAAATGGAAAATGTTGATGAAAGAATTTGATTATCACTATATACCAGGCAGTATCAATGCTACATTTTTATTGCCATATTGTTTGCTTGATTATTTTGTAATAATGCAATAATGCAATATTTTACCATGCTTAAAAAACAAGATAATATTTTTCAGTGAAACTCGATACAATATCTTTCAGAATATATCTAAACTAAGATATATTTGTTCTGAGTCAGTTTTTGACTCCTGCTGACTGCCTGGAAAAGTCCTTGCAGTTTTTGTGGTAAGATTGCCAGAAATGATTTGTCATGCTTCTGAAAGGACAGACCAAGAGTGAGTGACTGGCTCAAGATTACTCAGCTGCTTCATGCCTAAATTGGGGCTAGAATTGGTCTCTGGATTTCTAGCCTGTGGCCTTAATCAGATATTGGCTCTAAATTAAGCTACACACTGTAATATATTGTCAGTTTCATAAACATTTGCACACAATGACGCAGAAGCTCATTGTAGGAAATCAATGCTTTGCCTGTCAGAAAGGAGGGTGCTGGATTTCTTGAACCAGGACTTGGCAGTAAATCTATACATCTCATCTCAGCTTAAATTTGGCTGGTAGGTTCAGATTTGGCTAAAACCATTCAGATACACAGCACAGCATTATTAAATAAGAATCTTCACTGAAATTAGTATGAAATGCCAAAAAAAAAAGAGGATGGCCCTGTCAGTGCGTGACAATACAGCTCCCTTTTGTATCCCCAATCTTTTAAAACTTTGTCTTCCCACTGCTCCTCTGTTATAATGGACTTTTTGCCCTGTAATTTTAAGGCTTTGGAGCTCAGTTGTTTTGTTGAATAAATTTAAATGTCGCCCATCTTGCTGTCTAAAGCAATCTTTTGACTTAACTATATGCCCCTGCTCTGAAAATTGTTGGGTCCAATTTAACTTGTATAGTGAAGGACAACGCCCCCTAGAAAAAATATTTCCATAACCTGTCTATGGAGCAATGACAGTTTATTTAGCTCAGCTGCCTCCTAAATTCCAATATTAGGTAAACTTGAGTTTTAAGGAAAATGAGGCGTAGTAAAAGAAACAAACTTTCTGAAAGATTTGCTTAATCATCTTAGAGACAAAAAAGATAAGCAAAAATACAAGCCATAAAGCTGGCAACAGTAAACACAGAAAGCAATCTCATCAAAGTCATAATAAAAACAATTCATAATTGAGTGGCTTTTAAGTAATATTTCTAAAAGCTCAGTCCAGGCTATTTATTGGTAGAATTCCACACATGAAATTCTCCTGTCAGGAAAAAAAAGCATTTTCTAATTCCTTCTAATGCTAGACCATCCAATGTCAATTAATTTGTTGTTAGGTAGGGTCAATATTTTTACTGACAACACATATTTTTGAAGGATTATATATAGCGGTTATTTAGACCTGACCTTGGGGGAAGTATGAAAGAACCATTAAGGATAGACTTGGCAACATATTGCACAGTCCATAAATTGAAGGAAGCATGAGGAATAAACTTAAAAGTAATCCCACCTTGATTTTGGGCTTCAAAATCCTGGTTATACCCTCCAACAATAAGCTAGCAGTCTTGGAATCTCAGCGATATCTGGATTTTTTTTCCCCTGGCCCTCCACAGAGATATTCTAATCAAATTTCATTGAATTACAAAATGTATTAAACTTACCATAATGTAACTTGACAATAAAGGGATGGTTAACTTCTACTAAGATGTCACGTTCCATTTTTGTCCGAACACGATCACGAACTATAAAACATTTAGTTCAAATTAATAGCTACTAAGTCAATTTGGACTTTTTGTTTTGGAATATCTAGTAATCTCAGCCCAAATGCTTTCCAGAACCAATGTAATATAAAATGTAGTAAATGTAATTAGGCAGCCAATCAAATACTTTTTTTTCCCTTCCATGCAATCATGTATGATTCCTAGAAACTGCCTGGACAAGTCCCTATAGTTTTCTTGGCAAGGTTTTTCAGAAATGGTTTGTCCCTGCTTCTTTCTTAGGACTGAGAAAAAGTTATAAGCTCAAGATCGCCCAGCTGAGTTTGTGCCTAAGCTGCGACTAGGTCACAATCTTCCCGTTTCTAGCCTAATGTTTTAACCACTCTCAATCAAATGCTACTTGATAGCTAAAACAGACACATCTGCTGATGCCAACCTGTACTTCAGATAGTTCAGACAAGTTGTGACATAGGCAGAAGTATTATTATGAACCGTGGTGGCACAGTTGTTAAAATGCAGTATTGCAAGCTACTTCTGCTGACTGCAGTTTGGCAGTTCAATTCTCTCCAACTCAAGGTTGACTCGGTCTTCCATCTTTCCGAGCTCAGTAAAATGAGGACCCAGATTGTTGGGGGCAATATACTGACTGAGAGGGCTTTAGAGAGGGCTGCAAAGCTCTGTGAAAAGGTATAATAAGTGCTATTGTTAAATGCTATTATCATCATCACTTTAATAATTTCAGGATTGTTCTTCAAAAATATTGGCCATCACAAGTCTAATCTCTCCACAAAAGCACTGAATTACAAATACAAATAGGTGATCAGGGAGCTACTAATTTTATTATATTTCTACCCCATGCAATCTAGCAACTTGTATATAAAATAAATTATTAAACAATTGGATATTTGGCATAACAGCACCTTGACAACCTTCATTAACTTCTTCCTGAATGCAGGTAGTCCTCACTTAGCAACTCCCTCATATACTCAGTGACCATTCATAGTGATAACTATGATGAAAAAGTAACTTTTCCTTTAAAACATCTATAGGTTGCATAATTTACCTTTCAATGTTGCCTTTTTAAGCACTTTCATTGCATACAGCTGTTTGGCATCCGATCCTGAGATTTTTTTCACAAGAAATACCTGTAGCATGCATAAGTAAAGCCTTTTTAATGTCAAACACAACAATGTTATTGTAATAATCAGTTGAACTGGCCAACAATATAAAAAATAAGACTCTACAAAGCTTTAAAAATGTGCAAGTGAACAGAGCATTTACAAACTGCCCTCTTTTGAATTCTTACTGTAAATTTAAGAATTTCCAGCAGAAGCTGCTCCTAGCTGTCTATAAAGTATGTACATATGCATCTATACCTACTTAACTTCAATAGAAAAATGATGTAGTTGTACATGTGTATATCTCTTGCAGAAATAGATGGGAACAGATTCCAAAGCAGTTGCATCAACCTGCACAAAGCAGCCTTTTTAACAATTTGGTATACACATGCAAAATTTATTAATAATGGTTTCAATTCTGCAGCTTTCAGGGGAATAAAATATGAAAAAGCCTGACTTCAGTTAGAGAAGTATGGCTGATCAGCACATACCAAGTATTATTCAACTATAAAATTCTCTAAATGTTTTATATTTTTCTGGTAAAAAAAAAGTCCTGCCTACCTCAAAGTTAGGCTATTTAGTACTTTGATTAGATCCTGAAAAGGTCCTTTGAAGGTTGTAGGAAAAGGAAAGTAACTTTGTCTGTGACTCTTAAAGCAGCAGTATCTGTTTCTATGAACTTATGGCAGCTGGATCTTGGGAAAAGATGTGATTGTACTGAGGAGTTGCAGACGGATGTTATATTCATGGTCCTGTATGTGCTACAGCACTCTGAACCAGAATCCGTTGCAGCAGCCCTCCCCTCGCTCCTCGAGTCAGTAGCCGAGCTGGCAATTGAGTTCCCCAGGCTTATGGTTCTGGGGGACTTTAATTTGCCTTCGCTCAGCGAACACGCTGATGGAGCGCAGGAGTTCATGGCTTCCATGACAGCCATGGGCTTGACCCAGATAATTCGAGGCCCGACTCACTCAGTGGGTC